TGGGGCCTGGGGGGTGCTCGGGCCACTAGGCTGGGTCAGGCGAGCGGGAGGGCGTCCACGGCTTGAGGCCAGGTGGTCGGGAGGGTGTCCAGGGCCTGGGATCAGGGGGGCTCCCCGGCCTGTGGAGCTGCTACCCCACCGCCCTCGGGTACGGGAAGCCCTGGGGAGGGCACGTGGGGTTCACACACCCAGCCGCCCTTCTTCCTTCTCCCACAGTGTCTGCACCGAGAGTGGCGTGCAGTGCACTTACAACGCCAGCGGTGAGCGGCCACTGCCTGTCAGGGCTGGGTTCTCGGGGCCGGGGTTTCAACACCTGGGGCCTTGGATCTAGGGTCTTGGGGCCAGGGTCTCTGGCTGGGGTCTTGGGCCTGGGATGTGGGGCCCGGGGTCTCAGGGCTGCAGTCTTGGGCCTGGGGTCTTGGGCATGGGGTCTTGGGCCTGGGGTCTCGGGGCCGGGTTCTCAACGCTTGGGGTCCTGGATCTGGGGTCTCGGGGCTGGGGTCTCTGGGCTGGGCTCTTAACCTGGGATTTGGGACCTGGAGTCTCAATGCCTGGGGGCTCAGGGTGGCAGTTTTGAGATTTTGGACCTGGGATTTTGGACCTGGGGTCTCGGGGCTGGGGTCTCAATGCCTGGGTCTTGCAGCTGGGGCTCAGGGCTGGGGTCTCAGGACTGGGGTCTCGGGGCTGGGGTCTCAATGTGTGGGTCTCAGGGTTGGGGGTCTTGGTGTGGGGTCTCAGGGTGTGGGTTTCAGGGTTGAGGTCTTGGGGCTGGGGTCTCAGTGCATGGGTCTTGGGTTTGGGGTCTCTGGGCTGAGGGTCTCAAGACCTGGGGCCTTGGATCTGGGGTCTCGGGGTTAGGGTCTTGGACTTGGGATTTTGGACCAGAGGTCTCAAGGTCTGGGGTCTCAGGGCTGGGGTCTCGGGCCTGGGGTCTCGGAGCCAGGGTCTCGGGACTGGGGCCTCGGACCTGGAAACTTGGGGCTGGCATCTCAGTGTGTAGGTCTTGGGGTTAGGATCTTGGGGCTGGGGTCTCTGGTCTGCGGTCTTGGGGTCGGGGCTTCAGGCCTGGGGTCTCAGTGTGTGGGTCTCAGGGTTGAAGTCTTGGGACCAGGGTCTCCAGGCCTGGGGTCTGAGGGCTGGGGTCCGGGGCCTGGGGCCTCAGGGCCGGGGTCTCTGGGCCGAGGTCTCGAGGCCTGGGGTCTGGGGCCTGGGATCTTGGGGCCTGGGGTCTTGGGCTTGAGGCCTTAAGGCTGGGGTCTCAGGGCTGGGGGCCATGGGCCTGGGGTCCAGAGGCTGGGGTCTCCAGCCCACAGTCTGGGGTCTCTGCCCACACCCAGCGCCCTAACAGGCCGGGCCTCTTCTCTCCCACAGCTTGCGTCTGCACCTATGATGGACGGCACTTCCGCCCGGGAGATGTCATCTACAACACGACGGATGGCACGGGTGGCTGCATCTCGGCCCGCTGCGGGGCCAACGGCACCATCGAGAGGCGCGTCCACGACTGCAGCCCCGCCACCCCCGCGCCTCCCACCACCTTCTCCTTCTCCACACCCCCACTCGGTGAGGATGACGCGGCCACGTGCTGAGGGCCTGGTGCCCGGGTGTCCCTGTCCTGCTGACCAGCGGTGTTTCTTGTTGGAGGCCCAGTTCACACCTGATCTGGGTGTGGGACCAAACAGGGGCCCGGGACCAGGGCCCTGGGCACAGGGAAGACCTGCCACTCCCCTCAGGTGCCCTGCCAGAGAAGGGGCCAGTTTCGGGTCGCCCTGGCAGGCCTGGCACCCACAGTCCTCCCTTGGCAGCCTCAGGCCTGGCTGGGCCAGCCCCAGTCGGGCCCTCAGGACCACGGGATGCCACCCGGGGCTGCGTGGCCAGCACTGGTCTTCTACGGCACAGAGTACAAGTACCATATTCTCTCCTGGGGGGACGTCTCAGGGACCCCAAAGAATCATCTGAGTGTCTCTGAGACTGCAGAACCCCCGAGTTCTGGTTTTGGGGTCACAGAGGTGTGGCTTTCTTTAAACAGTGTCCATGTACCTGTTTATTCAACACCTGTCTGGGCTAGGCAGGTTCCCAGGGGCGGTCACAGACTGAGACAGGCAGACAGGCCGGTAGACTCATCCCCAGGCCTCGGACAGGGACAGGCGGCAGGGAGGGGGCTGCCCCGACCCTGGCCCCCGGTGCTCAGCCTGGCAACCTCTCTGCCCACAGTTGTGAGCTCGTCACGGGCCCCCGGCACAGGCCCCAGCCAGAGCACGCCGCACGCTGGCCCTCCCAGCAGCGTCCGGCCTGCAGCCACGACCCCCAGGATGACGCCTCCCACGGTGCCCCCCTCACAGCACCCTGGCTGTGAGGAAGAGTGTCAGTGGTCGCCATGGCTGGATGTCAGCCGCCCCGGGCGGGGCCTCGACAGCGGGGACTTCGACACGCTGGAGAACCTCCGTGCCCACGGCCTCCTGGCGTGCCCCGCACCCAAAATGGTGGAGTGCCGGGCCGAGGATGCCCCCGACGTGCCCCTGCACGTCCTGGGCCAGCGCGTGGAGTGCAGCCTGGCTGTGGGGCTCACCTGCCACAACAGGGACCAGGCGTCGGGACTCTGCGGAAACTACCAGATCAGGGTCTTGTGCTGCACGCCCCGGGACTGCCCCACCTCCGGCCACCCAGCCCACACCCCGCCTGCCACCACCCTCCGGACGCCTGAAATGGGGGACTCAGCCTCCTCGGGCCCCGTGAGCACCCCCGGCCCAGCCACGCTCTCCAGCCCTGCCCCAGGAACCCCCACGTCTGTCACGTCAACGCTGCCGCCCCACCCGACACCAGCGCCCACCACCTCCACCGTGGCGGCCACGCCCACGCCCACGTCCACAGCGCCCAGCCCGGTGTCCTGCTGGGAGAAGTCCTGCACGTGGACTGGCTGGATTGACGGCAGCTACCCCGGGCCGGGCAGGAACAGCGGAGACTTTGACACATTTGAGAACCTGAGAGCCAAGGGATTCATGTTCTGCGAGAGGCCAAGGAGCGTGGAGTGCCGGGCCGTGAGCTTCCCCAACACATCGCTGGCGGACCTGGGCCAGGACGTGACCTGCAGCCCCAGGGAGGGGCTTGTCTGCCGGAATGAGGATCAGCTGCCGCCCATCTGCTACAACTACGAGATTCGCATCGAGTGCTGTGACATGGTGGACAGGTGCAGGCAGGGGACCCGGCCGGCCTACAGAGCCACAACCACACAGCCCATGACACGGGAGCCCCCCACCAAGCCGACGGGGCCCCCCTCGACCGCCACAAAGCACACCTCGGGGAACTCAGCACCTCTGCCCACAGCCACCTCAGGCACAGGCCGGGTGCCCCCCACCTCGACCAGTGACTGCCAGCCCCGGTGCAACTGGACCAAGTGGTTCGACGTGGACTTCCCGTCCCCTGGGCCCCAGGGTGGGGACACGGAGACATACGACAACATCATCAGGAGCGAGGAGCGCGTCTGCCACCGGCCCGAGGACATCGCGGGCATCGAGTGCCGGGCCGAGAGCCACCCCGAGGTGAGCCTGCAGCACCTGGGCCAGGTGGTGCAGTGTGACCGCCGCGTGGGCCTCCTGTGCCGCAACCAGGACCAGCCGGGGAGCCCCAGGATGTGCCTCAACTACGAGGTGCGTGTGCTGTGTTGCGAGACCCCCAAGGGATGCCCGGTGACCACCCTGCCTGCCACCAGCAGCCCGACTCACAGCACCTCCTCTGGGCCCAAAACCCGCACAACCTCTGTGGTCACATCCAGCACCTCCTCCACGAAAGAGACTCACATGCTGGCCACGAAAGAGACCCACACAACCGCCACAAAACACACCCACACAACCTCTGCAACTACAACCAGCACAACCTCCACAAAAGAGACCCACACCAGTGCCACGAAAAAGACCCACACAACCTCCGCAAAACAGAGCCACACCCTGTCCACGAAACAGTCCCACACAATCTCTGCATCTGCAACCATCACAACCTCCACGAAGGAGACCCACACACCAGCTACGAAACAGACCCGCACAACCTCTCCTTCGACCACCAGCACAATCTCTGCTCCTACGACCGGCACAGGCCACGTTTCTACCCCCGAGACCACCCACCCTGCCACCTCGACCACAACCTGCCAGCCCCGGTGCAATTGGACCAAGTGGTTCGATGTGGACTTCCCATCCCCTGGGCCCCACGGTGGGGACACGGAGACCTACAACAACATCATCAGGAGCGGGGAGCGCGTCTGCCGCCGGCCCGAGGACATCGCAGGCATCGAGTGCCGGGCCGAGAGCCACCCCGAGGTGAGCCTGCAGCACCTGGGCCAGGTGGTGCAGTGTGACCGCCGCGTGGGCCTCCTGTGCCGCAACCAGGACCAGCCGGGGACCCCCAAGATGTGCCTCAACTACGAGGTGCGCGTGCTGTGTTGTGAGACCCCCAAGGGATGCCCGGTGACCGCCCCGCCTGCCACCAGCAGCCCGACTCACAGCACCTCCTCTGGGCCCAAAACCCGCACAACCTCTGTGGTCACATCCAGCACCTCCTCCACGAGAGAGACTCACACACCCATCACGAAACAGACCCACACAATCCATACGTCTACAAACAACACAACCTCCACAAAAGAAACCCACCCACCGGTCACAAAGGAGACCCACACACCAGCCACGATACAAATGCACACAACCTCTGTATCTACAACCACCACAACCTCTGCCCCTACAACCACCACAACCTCAGCTCCTATAACAACCCCTGTGGGTTCCTCATCTACCAAGAGCTCATATTCAGCCCCATCCGCCTCTGTGAGATCCCCCTCCGTGGCACCTACCTCCGTGGCTCACTCCACCCGGACCTGCTACTGCAGCGTGGCTGGCCAGCTATTCCCTGCAGGTACGTGAGTCTTCCCTGCGTATTGGGTCTGAGCCTACCCTGGGTCTAGTTTCTCCTTTGTGGATGTGAGTGGATTCCCTGCTGTTCTGTGGCTCTGGCTCATGTGGCCACAGTGCAGTTTCAGACCCTTTTTATGTGGAGTTAGGGTTCCCTCAGGATTCCCCGCGTGCCGTGGCAGCCCCTCCTCTGAGCAGGGCTCTGCTGACAGCCACCACCTTCTCCTGCCTGCAGGATCCATCATATACAACCAGAAAGACCTTGCTGGGCACTGCTATTATGCCCTGTGCAGCCAGGACTGCCACGTGGTCAGAGGGCAGGATGTGGACTGTCCCTCCTCCACTCTGCCTCCCACCCTGGCCACGTCTTCTTCGACATCCACCTCTGAGCCCATCACAGAGCAGGGATGTCCCAATGCGGTTCCGCCTCGAAAGGTAACCTCACCCTCCGTCCCTGTGGCTCGGAGCCCTACAATCAGGCCTCAGACACGTTCCCGTGGAGCTGAGGCCCCACCGTGTAGGCTGGCCGACCCCCAGAGA